TGGTGGACGTGAGCGGCACCGGGACCCTGTCCCAGAGCTACCAGTACAAGGTGTGTCTGGCGGGAGATTCTGGGACCCGCGAGTTCAAGTTCTTGAAGCCAATTATCCCCCACTTCCAGCCCCAAAGCTGTGGGAAAGAAATAGAGGAAACTTCTACTCTCGGGAATAGCTTTGGATTTAATTGTTGAAAGGGATTCATTTAATAAACACATTTACTTTTTAATATATTCTTCTTGGATAACTACATTGTTTTGCCCACCACCAAAAAGGTGCTCTTTTGTTTGATTCATCTTCAACTTTGCATATGATGCTTAACTTCACGTTAACTTTTTTAAAATTCTGTATCCTGATGACTCATTTCTTACTAGAATCCCATGAGTGAAATAGAATTTTTTTTCAAAGTTGGCACTATTATACTTTTTGCTAGTTGTAAATGTCTTTATTAACTTTTTATTTATTGTGTCTACATTGTTCATTAGTTCTCCTTTTCCTAGAACCTTTTACTTGTTAAAATAATCTGCTGCATGTAATATATGCTTTTACTATATTCCTTCTATTTTGAAACCGGTATTCTTATTGGTTTGCCATCCTTAATGTTCATTGCAACAATTTTCTTAAACTTTACCTTTTTTTAAAAAAATTCTACTTTCCCATCATTGATAGTTTCCTATTTGAAATATAATGTTTCTGTCATAAGTGATACGATAAACCTCTAATCAGCCCTAGAAGAAAAGCAGCTGTAAGGCATTGAGCTTGTGTAAATGGGCTTCCATTTGGAAACTCCCCCTTCCATCAAAAACAGAAAGGGATAAGTTTAGTCATTCTATAGGATCGTGTGAAAATATGTAATTTTCTCCTTTAAATTCTGTATAAATAAATCAGAGGTTCCTGAGGTTCCTGTTAAATTTTTAATGGCCAACAGCCTAGTGCCATTCAGTTGGAAAAACAATAGCAATCACAAAGTAGAGGTTTATGTTGTGTGGCTTTTAAATTCAACAATTAGAAGAGTGTGTTGGTAGTGTCAAGCCTTTTCCTCCACAACATTCCTTGATTTAATCTGTTTCCCTTGCTTATGTTAGAAAAATAGAACTTCTTTCTATACATAAGGCCTTGGAATAAGATTCTATGTAAAAAATACATTATAACTCTGTTCTTAATTTTAATAGTGTTCAGATAGGTGTTAGTGTGATCTACTCTTTACCTCCCTTTATTTGGTGCAGAGAAATTAGATTCTGCTAAATTTTGATTAAGAGGGGACCTTAAAATAAGGATCAATCTCTTCTTTAACCCTGTAGGTTACTTTAAACCTAAAACAGAAAAAAACAAAGGCAAGTGAAAGTAAGGAAACAAATCGCAAACAGCAAGTGAAAGAACAAAATTTTTCAAATGGTAGGAATTGGAAGGAACTGAAAAATGTTTCATGTTCTACCCACCTGAGTTTATTTATGCATGTCCTAATGCAGCCAGTATGTACTGCATCTCTGATTTATCACCAGAGATGATTAGGTATCCTATCCTTAAGTAGCCCACATGTCGAAGAAGAAACAGACTGGCATGAAATAAGAAGCAGTAGAATTTACAGGGCAATCATAGTGGCATACACAAGTTTTTCTGAGAGCATAGAGGAGGGACAGTTTAAATGCTTTTCCCAAAATGAATTGGAGAATCTCAACAATGGACCATTTCTCTGTCTCAACGTTAATTTTTACAAGACAAAGGAAAAGAAAAATGAAAAATTTAAATGAGGCTCTAAAGGAAAATTGAACACACACACGCAAATGGGTACAACCATTGAAATCTGGTGGAGGCCACACGGTGGCGCTGCAGCCTAAAGAGACGATTTGGGGAATGAACTGAGGATGCTGTGTAAGTCACAGACCGATGAACTTAAAAGAGAAGCTGTAGCTGCCCAAGATTGGGAAAATAAACGGACAAATAAGACCCCTGTGCTACACGGCGTAGGTGCAGGGTTTCCTACTGCTGTTCTTTTATGCTGGGAGCTGTGGTTGTAACCAACTAGGAATTACGTATTCAGAAGCTATGGCAGTCACTGAGTTGTGCTTTCCAAGACAAAGGCAAGTTCTGTTTCTTTTTGTTTTTTGGGGAGTGTCTTTGGCAGGTTCTGGGTTTGGACGTTATTCGGTGATGGAGGAAGCAGAGAGAGGATCCTTTGTGGTCAATCTGGCAAAGGATCTGGGACTAGCAGACGGGGAGCTGGCTGCAAGGGGAACCAGGGTGGTTTCCGATGATAACAAACAATACCTGCTCCTGGATTCACAGACTGGGAATTTGCTCACAAATGAGAAACTGGACAGAGAGAAGCTGTGTGGCTCCACAGAGCCCTGTATACTGTATTTCCAAATTTTAATGGATGATCCCTTTCAGATTTACCGGGCTGAGCTGAGAGTTAGGGACATAAATGATCATTCACCAGTATTTCAGGAGAAAGAAACAGTCTTAAAAATATCAGAAAATACAGCTGAAGGGGCAGCATTTCGACTAGAAAGAGCACAGGATCCAGATGGAGGACTTAACAGTATCCAAAACTATACGATCAGTTCCAACTCTTTTTTTCGTATTAAAATTAGCGGCAGTGATGAAGGCATGATATATCCGGAGCTAGTGTTGGACAAAGCATTGGATCGGGAGGAACAGGGAGAACTCAGCTTAACCCTCACAGCGCTGGATGGTGGATCTCCACCCAGGTCTGGGACCTCTACTGTACACATCGTGGTCTTGGACGTCAATGACAATGCCCCACAGTTTACACAGGCGCTCTATGAGACCCAGGCTCCAGAAAACAGCCCGGTAGGGTCCCTTATTGTTAAGGTATCGGCAGAAGATGTAGACGCTGGGGTCAACGGAGAAGTAGCCTATTCGTTTTTTGATGCCTCAGAAAATATTCGATCAACCTTTCAAATCAATCCTATTTCTGGGGAAATCTTTCTCAGAGAATTGCTTGATTATGAGTCAGTAAATTCTTACAAATTAAATATACAGGCACTAGACGGTGGTGGCCTTTCTGCAAGATGTAGGGTTTTGGTGGAAGTACTGGACATCAATGACAATCCCCCTGAACTCATCATGTCATCATTTTCCAACCATATTGCTGAGAACTCTCCTGAGACGGCACTTGCTGTTTTTAAGATAAAAGACAGAGACTCTGGAGAAAATGGAAAGATGGTTTGCTACATTCAAGAGAATGTGCCATTCCTACTAAAACCTTCCGTGGAGAATTTTTACATCCTAATGACAGAAGGGGCGCTAGACAGAGAAAGTAGAGCCGAGTACAACATCACCATCACCGTGACTGACTTGGGGACACCCAGGCTGAAAACCGAGCACAACCTAACCGTGTGGGTCTCCGACGTCAATGACAACGCCCCCGCCTTCACACAAACCTCCT